GGGGTGGTGTAGGAATGTGAAGTGGGGGCCACAGTCAGATCAGCCATGATTTTACTGAATGGTGAAGCAGCCTCAAGGAGCAACAGCCAACTCCTGATTCATATCCTAACTGCCTGCTATTAGTGCTTGTTGGAAGGATGCACAAGCTGATCCTCAATTTGTTTGGCCATTTGACAAATGTACCTTCCTTAGCCATCAAGTCTTGGAGTGGGACTTGAAACTGGAGTTTCCAATTCAGAGGTGAGGATGCTGCTCACTGCGGCACAGCCTTCCACATAGGGTTGCCAACTCTAATTAGTTGTATTTTTTGGAACTGTGGCTCACAGCCTCCTCTGGACCCATGGCCACCAATGGTTAAGACAAAACATCCATTCTTACAAATTCCCACCACACTCTTGTGCCAACTGGAAAGCAAAAATCACCCGCTTGATTTGTTAACTGTCAAAAGTTTTCTTCTCATAATCTGCAATATTTTTCTCACTGATATCCAAAAGTATCCATGAAAATAATTGCTAAAAGAAGTTAGCATCCATGACTTTTCTCCAGGGTTGCTCGTAAAAGGCTTCAGGAGATTAATCTTTAATTTCGAGTCAATCTAATCCTGGAAGGCTGCAACACTTGTTTCTCTCCAATTGGGTGTGCCAGGCACTCTCAAGAAGAGAAAAATTTGTTCGAAATTTTTAGTGCTAAGAACATTGAGAGAATTTTTTTTTTTTGTTCATTCATTCACTCGTTCATGAACATCGCTGGCTGGGCCAGTATTTGTTGCCCATTTCTGATTATCTTGGAGAAGGTAGTGGTAAGCTGCCTTTTTGAACTACTGCAATCTTTGGGGTATAGAGGTGCCCACAGCGCTGTTAGAGAGGGGGTTCCAGGACTTTGACCCACCAAAGTGAAGGCACAGAGCTAAATATTTAAAGCAGAATGGTGCTTGGCTTGGAGGGGAAAGTTCAGGTGGTGGCATTCCATGTGCATCTCTGCCCTTGTCCTTCTTGGTTGTGGAGGTTATGGGTTTGAAAGGGGCTGTATGGCGATTCTTGGCGAGTTGCTGCAATGTATGTTATAAATGGTGCACACCGCTGCCACTGTGATGGAAGGTGTGAATGTTGAAGGGATTTCATTTCTAGCGTTATTAAGAGATGTACAGGTTGAAAATCCTTTTTAAAGAAATGGTGTTGATCTTTCAGAGAATTTTTAAAAATCCATTAGGGTACCTGTCACTTGTTTACGCCAACATGGGTGATAGCTGCTGTGAATAGGCAGAACTACACTAGAAAGGGAAAATAAACAAATGGGAGGTTTCTCACTTGGGATGATCATGTGTTGGAATAAAGTTCCTGGAAAAACAATACCACCATGCTCCATAAGCACAGAGAAAAACTAACCCAGATGGGTGGAAGAGGCAGATGAACAATCTCAGGCCAACAGAAGAGTCTAGGCCCGAAACATCAGCTTTCATAGAATCCCTACAGTGTGGAAACAGGACCTTCGGCCCAACCAGTCCACACCAACCCTCAGAGCATCCCACCCAGACCCATCCCCCTATTTTTCCTGCTCCTATGATGCTGCTTGGCCTGCTGTGTTCATCCAGCTCTACACCTTCTTATCTCAGATTCTCCAGCATCTGCAGTTCCTACTATCACTGTTTCCCACAACTAGTTTTGCTGCTTTGACAAATTTCTAATGACCATGTGGTGTAATGTGAAGAGCTGTTGGCAACTCCATCACTAGGTGAATGAACAAATCCATTGAAAACCCACACTATCATTAATAGGCACAGCAGTTAGGGAAGAGACAAATCTCCTGCACTCACCATATCAAGGACATGAAACAGCCCAGTTAGTACATGCTATGTTAGGATGTAATTACTTGTGGATTGAAATCATCACTTTAAGCAATACTTTTAGCAGTAAACTCACACCCAAAGTTTTGGCTGCATTAATTTGAATGTCAAACCAGCTAATGTTAGCCTTCAAAACAAACATAAATAGAAATTGCTGGAGAAACTCAGCAAGTCTGGCAGCATCTGTGGAGAGAGAACAGTTAATATTTTGAGTTCAGTGAGCCTTCTTTATAGCCCTCTCGTAAATGCTGTCAGATCTGCTGAGATTCTTCAGTAATTTCTGTTTTTGTTTGCTTCAGATCTCCAATACCACACTTCTTTATTCTATTTTAAAGTTCACCTTTGTTCTGTTCTCCATTCCAAGATTTTTTTAATTTTGATTTTTTTAAAAATTTCAGTTTCTAAGTCTTGGCTGAGATGCAATAATACATTCCACATGACTGAATACAAATGAAATCACTAGGGATGGGAGTACCACGACTAAATCTGTCAATCTGAAATAAATAATGCATTTATATAAAGCTCACTTCGATGTGATGCTCGTTACTGGACCTTAAACTAGACATCCACCTACATTAATGCAACATGATTCCTCTGACTTGCAAACAATCCTTCAGCGAGTTTAGAGTTCATTAGAATAAGGATTCAACATTATGACATGATCAATCCATGCTGGGACATGCATAGTAGGCTGCACGGAACAATTTTACTAAGATAAATCAAATAAACAATTAATATTCCCTAGGGTGTAAATGAGATTTAGAGAGGCCAGTTATAGTACAAAGTGGAAGCTGGACGAATGAACTTTCTAAACTGTGTAAGAATCATTGGAATTACTATAATTACTATGTATGATAATCGGAAACTACGTACAGGTATAATAATTATATCTAATTAATCACCATGTATAAATATTATTATGTACCATTGCCATGGTGATGATTGTAAGTCACTGTTCATACTCCGAGCCACCTGCACCCAAAACGCAAAATAATTTCCACTCAATGAACCCAGATGGACATAGTTGCTCTGGGAGGCTCCTTCATGGCACTAGTTCTTTATGATAACTCAGAGCACGAATTACTTTTCAAGCAGAGTTGAGAGAGAGGCCGGTCTTTGTCTCTCTATTCATCCTTGGAAAAGACAGCCTAAGGAAGCCAGAGAAACATGAGAACATAAGCAATAAGTGCAGAAGTAGGACACAGGCCCCCTGAGCCTGCTGCGCCATTCAACATGATTATTACTGTGATGACTATTGCAACTGCACTTTTCTGGACAATCACCATATCGCTTGACTCCTTTCACACCCAAACTTCTATCCATTTCTGTTTTAAATACACTCAAAACTAAATAGCCACAGCTCTCTGAGAATTCCAAATAATCAAAGTGAAGATATTTTGGCCTCAAGAATACCAACTCCTTTTTCTGAAAACTCTGCTACCTTGTTTTAGATACGTGAGACATTTTGGAAGTTGCTGTTTCAAAAACACCAACATTAATTTGGAGATAGTAGGAACTGCCGATGCTGGAGTTAGAGCTAACACAGTGTGGAGCTGGAGGAACACAGCAGGCCTGGCAGCATCAGAGGAGCAGGAAAGCTGACATTTCAGAAAAAGCGTCCCGACCCAAAACATCAGCTTTCCTTCTCCTCTGATTCTGCCTGGCCTGCTGTGTTTCTCCAGCTCCACATTGTGTTAACATTCATTTGGATTTGTTTGGTCTTTTCCCCAAATGTTTGAGTCCCTCTTCCAGTTTAAGTCCAAACTACAAAGCTAACTCAGCCTTATTTTAAACTTTACTGTTAAACAGAAATGGCCCCAGCAGTGACCCGGATTACACTACTGACGGTGATTATCACCCCCAGGGAATATTTCTATTCACAGATTACCTTCCCTGTTTTGGCCAGTTATCAGGTCCCTGAGGTTTGCCATAGGATTACGTGCTGTACCAAAATCTAAAAAATCCACAGAATTCCTGCTGTCAACAAAGTCTGTAGTTGCAGCTAATATGTTAGGCAAGGCCTCCATCTCATAAACCCATGCTGATACGTTCAATTGCTAGAAAGATCAGATTCAAGCCTGTTCTTCCATCCTCTTTCACAATTTCATCCAACCTCCCCAGAGCAAGGGGTTCCTGGATCATTCATAGTTGCTCTTTAAAGATTACTGCTCTCAGTTATGGTATCTAGGTGTCTGATTAACTCCCCCATCCCTGCTCTTTATCCCATAACCCTGCTTGTTTTTCCTTCTATGTATTTATCCAACTTTCTGTTTAGACCTTGATGGAAGGTTTTCGATGTTCACCTCGGGATGCAACATGGGCCATCTTATTTGGAGACACCCTTTGAACACAATAGTAGTTATTGTTGTAACAACATCTAGGCAAAATAGTATTCCAATTAATTCTTTTAAGTGTATGCTCCTTTATCTGAGCTGGAAATTTGTGGATAATTAGAGTCACCTAAAATGTAGTTTATATATATATTTCTTAGTAGTATACCAACCACAAAATGAAAACATATACATTTTTTCAAGAACATTATATAATTTTAACATCCCAATCAAGGCTTTGTCCCATAAAATCCTGGTGGTAATCAGGCCCTGACTAATAAAATTCTATTGCATTGAGCAGGAATACCTTACACAGGAAAGTCAGTAGTTTGGTAAACGCAATAAAGGAACATAGCAGCTTGGATGACCTCAGCTCATTCCAAAGAACTATAGAAAACAATCAAGAAATTTTGAACAGTGGTCTCTGTTGTAACAGAAGCATGGCAGTCAATTTGTACAGAGTAAGCTCCCACATACAGAGCAATGGAATAATGGTCGGATAATCTGTTTAAATGACACAAAAACAGAAATTGCAGGGAAAACTCAATAGGTCTGGCAGCATCTGTCGAGAGACAGCGGAGTGAACGTTTCAGGTCCAGTGACCCTTCTTCAGAATTGTTTTAAAAATGTTGGTTGAGAGATAAATTTAGCTAGGGCTTCAGGAAGATTCACCTAGCATCTCTTCAGAATAGTAACACGTGAACTTTAACCTCCTCCTGAGGGGGAAAATCCAATGATGCAGCTTTCTTTAAGCTCTCTATAGCTTAAAGGATGACCATAATGCAGAAAGTGAAGATGCCCAAGGAACAGCATTCCAATAAAGATTCAGAGTATTCTTAGGGAAAGCAGACATAAAGAAATGGAATATTTAAAAACATTATATTTAACAGTATAGGAAAGCAATCAACCAAACACCATTCAAAGACTTTAGACAAACAAAGAATAACACTTCAGGAAACAAACATGTCATAAACTTTATATGCCACAAAGCTGTTAGCAACAAGAATAAATATGTAAAGATAGTGCAGGATAATGAAATGTACTAAGTCATTAAATCAGAGAATTGTATTTGAATAGAGAATTTTATGACCTCAATGTGTTCCAAAGTTCTTTACAGCCAATTATTTTTGAGGCCTTTTGTCGTAATTTAGAAAACTCATGTCAACTGCAATGTGAAAAATTCTGATTGAGAATAAAATTTGGCTGGAACACCAGGGTGAATTCTCAAATAAACACAAAATGCTGCAGATGCTGGAAATCTGAAATAAAAACAGAGAATGCTGGAGAGACTCAGTGGGTCTAGCAGCATCTGTGGAGAGACAAACAGTTAACAATTATGTCCAGTTTAACTTTCGAAACTCATTCTTTGTTGTGAAAAAGTCCGTACTGGACTCAAAACGTTAACTCTGCTTCTCCCTTCACAGATGCTGCCATGCCTGCTGGGTTTTTTCAGCACTTTTTTATTTTTATACCAAGGTGAAGTCCCCTGTTTTTATTTGTAATAGTGGCAGGGGGTCCACTTGTGAGAACCTCAGTTTAACATCTTATCTAATAGATAGAATATCAAAAGTGCGACACTCCCTTTAGTGCTGGAGTGTCAGGCCAGAATTTTACACTGAAGTCACCGAAATGGGACTTCAACCAACAACCTTCTGACTTGGAGGCAAAAGAGTTGCCCACATAACCACTGCTGATGGAATGCACCAATGCCATCTAAAAGGACAGGTCCATTAGCAAAGTCTGTTAGTAAATCATTTATCTGTAAACTATTTATCCAGGGACCCAGGAAATGTTGTCGGGACCTGCGTTCAAATCCTGCCATGGCAGATGGTGGAATTTGAATTCTCTTAATCTGGAACAAAGTGCGTAATGATTGATTGTCAGGAAAAACCTATCTGGTTCACTAATGCCCTTTAGGGAAGGAAACTGCTGCTCTTACCTGCTGGCCTACATGTGACTCCAGACCCACAGCAACGCGGTTGTCTCTTAACTGCCCTCTGAGCAATAAAAGGAACACCCACATCTCATGAAAGAATTTTATAAAAGCTCACAGATAAAATAATAATGAGCAAAGCACTCAAAGTCCATAAATAAAACCCAGAACATAAGCTGTTCGTGGTTTCTGAAAAAGATAGATGCATGGGGGTAACATGCCTTTTAACTGAAGTGCCACTTTAAATCCACAAAGCATTTAACAGGAAAGCTGAATAAACTCATGAGGGAGACAGGAATAAAAGCATTTGCTGATGGTGTAGGATGAAATACTGCAGGAGCAGGCTTGAATGGAACATCAGTATTGGCATTGACCTATCGCCAAATTGCCTGTTTGTATATTGTAATTCTACATAATTCCTGCTGGACATTTACATTTTATTACTAAAGAAGAATGCAGGGGACTGGGACGCACGAACTGCATAATGGAATGAAGATATAATGCAGTTTCTTGGCAAGCCATGAGCAGAACATTGTGCAGCGAAGGGTTCAACGAACCTCCTTCACAACCAAGGAGTTCTGAATGTCATCTTCAAACTCGAGTACAGTTAAAAGATTGATGGGCTCCAGGCTTCAGCAGAAGCAGAATGTTAGCCTTTGTTTGACAGAATCATTAACATACATCAGTTTGGTTATCATCTTCCATTTCATCACATATGATGGATCACAATTACAATGTCCTTGTTCAATTTAAACTAATGTTCCAAATTTGTCTCTTTAAAAATTATAGTTATTGAGTCCCCTTTATTCTTGAGAATCTTCACCAAGCAATTGGATCGGAGCAGCAGAAATTTTTTCCCTTTACAGTGATAAAAATGTTATATAAACCTTTACCCGGATAGAATCATTGAATGTTTGCTGCACAGTAGGAAGCTGTTGGCCCATTAAGTCCATGCCAGCTCTCTCCAAGACCCATGCAGCAGTTCCCACTCTTCCTTAGCCCTGTAAATAGTTTTCTTCAGGTGATCACCCAATTCCCTTTTGAAGACTACAACTGAATCTGCTTCCAACAAACCCTCAGACAGTGCCATTCCGATCCTAACTACTTACTACATTAAAATGTTTTCCTCGTGTCGTCATTGGTTCTTTGGTCAACCACCTTTATGTGGTGTTTAGCAACAAGGAAGAGCTCATATTCTTTGCTGTCTCATTGTACATGGTGATTGCTTTGAATACAGCGAGATAAAACTTTTAGAGAATCTAGACGTTACATTCAGAACAACTTTCAGAACTGCTCAGAATCACAAAATTGTTAGTGTGCAGAGAGGCCACACAGCCCTTGTGTCTGCCCAGATCTCTGAGCATTTTAATTTAATGCCAATCTCTTGCCTTTTCCCTGTAACCCTCTATGTTGTTAAACGGAAACAATCATCCATTGCCCTCTTCAGCATCTCAATTGAACCTGCCTCCACCACACTGATGTAGTGCATTCCAGACTCAAACAGTTGGCAAAACAGCACTGAGGAAAACCATACATATGTGTTTTGTCTATAAATGAACTATAAAATGTAGTCAGTGCACTAGCACAAGTGTGCCTAGAGAAGATTCACCAATGTGCAGCAGCACAGAAGTACAATTTATTGCTTCAAAAATCAGTGGATAAGAGCATTTCTTCTGTTAAAACTGCTTTGCTGAGCAGTATGAACAGGCAGAAAAATCCATATGATAATTTGAGGCTCCAAAGGCAGTCTTGCCAAGTTCTTTTGAGTTGCAGCAGTATCTCTACAGAATAAATATTTTTGAAGGAAGTGCAGCAATTGGAGTTAGTGGCAACACCAGATTTGACATGTGTGCTTGCATTATCCAGTTCTTCTTCAATATCACCTCTCTTATTCCCTTTGGTTTGTCATGGTGTTTATCTGATATCCAGTGGAAGTAACATACAGTCGCAGTAGATGGGTGTTTCAAGGCTAACATGAATGACATTTTTCATAGCAACTTTTAATGGCATACGTAACATGCAAAAGGGCAAGAAAAAACTTGACACCGAGTTAAATAAGAAGGAGATATTACAGCAGCTAATAACCAATAGATAGCTTGGTTAATGCATTACATTATAAAAAATAGACATAGTTAAAGAGACTGAGAGGTCTGGGGAAAAGTTCCAGTGTTCATGTCTTTTGAAGTCTGTGTCCACCACATTAACAGCATAAGTCTCATCAATCCTCCTTGTTACCTCTTCAAAAAACTTCAGCAAGTAATTTAAACACAATTTGCTGTTTACAAATCTGTGTTGGCTTTCTTTAATTAGCCCATATTTTTCAAAGTGACTATAAATAAACTGACTATGAATTGCTATGAAATTCAACTGATTGGCCTATAATTTCTGGACTGATCACCAAAGGTTTAATATTATTTTAATATTTAATAATTCTCTGGTCCTCTGGCACAACACCCAAGTTTAAGGAATACCACAAAATTACAGCCAGTGTCTCTATAATTTCCACGCTTACTTCCATCAGTCTTCCTGGACCTATGTCATCTGGTCATAACGCCTTATCAACTTACAGATAGCCTATTTATTGGCTCCTCCTTATTGATTTTATTAGTGTCTTCAAATATCTGAACCACTTCTGCTTTCATCAAGACCTAGGCAATACCTTCTTACTTGGTAAATGACAATTTTAAAATTAAAAAAAACTTAGCCAGGAACAAGATCGTGTGCACAGAAGTGGCAAAGCTTGTTGCATAATTACTTACTTACAGCAGAGTTTTGAATATCCTCAAGGTGATGGAGAATGAAGCACAGGCCAGCATGATTGGAGGCAGTGTCGGGTTGTGTGATTAAATAAAGGTGGAAATGGTTCTCTTAGGGATGGTGCTTAGGGATGCGATCAGAAGCTCACTGAGGGATCAAATACGAAAGCAAGCTCCAGCCTCAGAAGGTCATTAGGGATAGGAATACAGTGTGTGCCTAAGGAAGAGAGTTTGCAGTGAGAATCAAACTTCCCAATATTTAATTAGAAGAAATTTCTGCTCATTGAGTACCAGATATCACAAAAGTGATAAGAGACAACAGTTAGAGGCAGCAGGGGAATCAAAGGGCTGTAGTGAGATAGCGCTGGGGGCCACCAGTTTACATGTATAAACTGATGCTGTATTTTCTGATGATATCTCCAAAAAGCAACGTTGAATACGGAATAGGACGGGACCAAGAAAATGAATGGCATCAGAAGTAACCACGTGAGAATGCTTGTGAAGCCATTGCAGGTAATATTCTAGCTACGAACAGACATGTAAAAATGGAACAAGGCTCACGTGGCCCCATACAGTTGGAAAACCTGAGTGGAGAATGGTGATCAACAATACCAATGTCGCAAAAGAGTAGAGACAAATGAGGTGAGATAATTTACCTTTTATGCAATCAAACAGGAAATCAATTGTGACTTTGATAGGAGCCTTTTCAATGCCATGGTAGGAGCCAAAAACTAATTGCAGGAATTCAATAATGAAGCTTCAGGAGAGATAGAGAAAGAAACAAATGGTATACTGATGAGCTGAAATGAAGAAGGGTTGGGGGGGACACTTGGGAGGGGTACAAAAGCCAACCAGGACCATTGGCATTGACAACATGTACCTGTATTGTATTGTCCTTGAACTAAGCTGTTCATTTGCACCAACTGTAGAAGCGATTGCCTCTCACAATTTGGACTTTACAACCACAACAGACAAGGCTCAATGACAGTTGTCCTTAAAGTTAAAAGATGATGGATCTTCAGGCTCATTAACAATGAATATGGAGATGGTTAAGTAGCCTCAATCTGGATGCAGAGTTGGAGAAAGTTGGGGCATTGGAACTCATGATGTCATAGAGTCATGGAGCTGTACAGCATGGAAACAGACCCTTCGGTCCAACTCGTCTATGCGACCAGATATCCTAAATTAATCTAGTCCCATTTACCAGCATTTGGCCCATATCCCTCTGAACCCTTCCTATTCATGTACCCATCCAGATGCCTATTAAATGCTGTAATTGTACCAGCCTCCAACACTTCCCCTGGCAGCTCATTCCATACATGCACCACCCTCTGTGTAAAAAAATTGCCCCTTAGATCCCTTTTATATCTTTCCCCTCTCAACTTAAAGCTATGCCCTATGGTTTTGGACTACCCTACCCAGGCTATTCACCCTATCCATGCCCCTCATGATTTTATAAACTTCTATAACGTCATCCCTCAGCCTCTGATGCTCCAGGGAAAATAGCCCCAGCCTATTCAGCCTCTCCCTATAGCTCAAACTCTCCAATCCCCACAACATTCTTGTAAACCTTTTCAGAACCCTTTCAAGTTTAACAATATCTTTCCTTTAGTAGGGAGATCAGAATTGAAAACAGTATCCAGAAGTGGCCTAACTGTACTGCCACAATATGTCATCCCAATTCCTATACTTAATGCACTGACCAATAAAGGTGAATGTACCAAACACCTTCTTCACTAACCTGCCTAACTACAACTCCATCTTCGAGGAACTATGAACCTGCACACCAGTGTCTCTGACTGAAAACAACAAATGCTGGAGATCACAGTGGGTCAGACAGCATCCATGGACAGAAAGAAAGCTAACTTTTTGGGTCTAGATGACCCTTCATCAGACTTGAAACATTAGCTTGCTCTCTCTCCATGGATGCTGTCTGACCTGCTGTGATCTCAAGCATTTGTTGCTTTCAGTACAGATTCCAGCAACTGCAGCAATTTGCTCTCCCAGGGTCTCTTTGTTTGGTAGCACTCCCCAGAACCCCACCATTAACTGTATAAGCGCTGCCCTGGTTTGCCTTACCAAAAAGCAAGACCTTGCATTTATCTAAATTAAACTCCATCTGCCACTCCTCGGCCCACTGATCCAGGTCGCCGCATGGACGGATACTGCTCCTTCATGTTCTTCACAAGCAGCAATGATACAGTGACATCAAACCTTCTTAAAATTAACAAAAAGGTCAGTGCTCTCCACAAAGTTCCTTCTTGTATGGATCCTTCCAGCTCTTTAGACTTGATGCCACACTGTTCAAAACAATACAGAAGCGACATGTACCTTGAACACAGTCCTTCATCTCCCAAGAGGGATGGGTGTCATCTTCACTGGAGTCAAGAACTGTAAAGTGGGATTAGAATATTTAGGTTGATGACTGATGACCAGGCCAACATGATGGTCTGAAGGACTTTTTACCAAGCTGTAAAAACTCTATGACCCTAAAGATTTAAACAAAAAAAGCAGGTTAATGCATACATCAACCATGATTTTTCTTGATAATAGAACAATGCAGAAGGGCCGAATATCCTTGTGCTGAAGTGTTACTGATGGACAATATCCATGATCAGCACCTCGGATAGCCAATCACAAGACGTCAGGTTTAGGCCAATCAGGGACATACAGGAAAGCGGAACGAGGTGTCGTCCAATGGGTGGGCGCAGGTTAGAGATGAGGGCGGTGATGAACGCCGGGGACGTCCAATCGGAAGGCGCACCCGGGGCAGAGGTCAGAACGCCGGTGTAGAGGCTCAGCCAATAGGCAACGGTCTGGGGGCGGGGCCGGTGAGCTCGTGCGCAGCCTCGGCAGCGGCTCCGGAGCGAAGGCAGAGAAAGACAAGACGGTTGTGGCGGCGGGAGCTGGAGCATCGAGGGCGAAAGACAGAGAAGGCACAGTACCACACCCTCCTTATCCACACACAGACACACACTTCTCCCGAATAACACGGCGAGGGCGAACCCAAAACGGAAAAAAGGGAACCCGGCCGGAGATTAATGTGACGGACCCTTCCCGGTGCCTCGCCATCTGACCCGGTGGAGCTGGTTCGAAGGCCCCGATCGTACTTGTGCCCCGCCGCTCGGTTATCTAACCGGACCCGGAACTCGGTGGCCCTCCCCCTGAGAAAGAGATAGAGGGGAGGGGGGGGTCGGCGAGAGACGACTACAACAAGCGTTTGAGGGATCGGCGACGCTATGGGTGAGTGTCGCGCCCGCGCTTGCGTGAGTGCGCTCTCTTCTTCCTCCCCCACCCCGCGCGCTCTGATTATAGCGGGGCTGGGAGGGAGAGCTGCGCATGTGTAAAGTCGGCTCCACCCGTGGGGTGTGGCGCGAGGTGTGTCTCGTGAGTGCGCATGCGTGAGCTGGCCGCCTGTCCAGCCCCAGCCAAAAGTCCGGGAGGCGCCCACGTGCCGCTCAGGGAAGCCATTGTAATCATTAAGATGATTTGCCGTGATATCCGTCAATGAAGGCGTTACCAGTTTTGGGAGGGCTCACCAGGCAAGGGATTGTGCGTAGAATGGTGGGACTCTAGGATGTACAGAGGATTTTTGGGCTTTGGTAAACATGTCCATAGATCCTTGAAGACGGAAGGACAACAGCGTTAAGAAAGCAAATCGGTGGACAAACTCAGCAGATCTGATAGTATCTGTGTTCAAGTTTGAGTCCAGTGACCCTCCTTTAGAATGGTTTTTGAAACCATTCAAATCATTTTATGTCTTTCCATTTCCATATGTGTAAATGTAATGTTTTCTTAATGTAACCAAACTAATTTGCACACATTTTGCAGAGTCCAGAGAATGTTTGTATGTAGAAAGGTGTGGGTTTTTTTTTGTCGTTCTCAGTTGTTTATAGGTACCCATAAGTTATTGAATATTTTTAAGACTAAGTTTATTGATTGACAAGGGAGTCCATGAATATCAAGAATAGAAGGTGCAGTCACTTTCTTATATGATTAGACATGGTTGTTTAACAGATCAATATCCATATGGCAAATTAGACAGGAAAGGTTTCACAAATTTGCAAGGGTTTTATTGTAAATCTGTAGTTTATTGCAAACTAGTTTCCACCTTTGCCTCTGCATACGTGCCCTGTCCAGAAGCCAATCCCCCACTGAGGAAGAATCCAGTTCGAAGATATTTTCTAATCAGCCTGTTCTGAGATGTTCTATCACAGCTCTGGAGCATGTACGACTTGAACCTAGGTCTCCTAGTCCAGAGATAGAGGTATTACCTCAGCGCCAGAAGAACCCACCAGCAAATCACCTGTTTGATAAATCCAGCAGTTAATCAGTTAAAAGCAGTGTCCATCAGGAGTGGAAAACCCAGCTTTTTTTAATAACCTGTTCAGAAATGTTATGAAGTAGGTGGATCTTGAACCCATAAAAACTGAAAGAACAGAGTTCTGAGGAAGGGTCACCGGAACTGAAACGTTATCTCTGATTTTTTCCTTCACAGACGCTGCCAGACCTGCTGAGCTTTTCCAGCAACTTCTGTTTTTGTTCCCGGATCTTGAACCCAGACTATCTGGCTCAAACAGCCCTAAAGAACCGATTCCTTTTTTTCTCTCCAGAAGTGCTCTTGCACACAACTGAACGGCTTTTTTTCTGCCACCAAATGACTCGTAATGTTCGTCTATTATCTGCCACTGCTAAATCACCCGTGTTTCCAATTATCAGTGTATGTGCAGAGCCTGACAGGGGCAATGCAATATAGAACCTAGCTCTCTTGATTTTTATTTGATTTTTTTTTATTTCCTAATCACTGCTGGAACAGGTGGGACTTGAACTTGGGCCACCTAGCTGAGAGATAAGAACACTATACAAGCCCTAAGAAAGGATTGTAGAGACAGGGAAGAGGAGTCAGGCAATCAGCCATTCTTTGATCGTTTGTGATTTTATTTTTAAATATATCCGGATCTAATGTTTTTACACGTCTCTGAAGCAGGTGGCTTTTGAACCCAGGACTCCTGGCATAGCAATAGGGACACTGCTGCTACACCACAAGAGCCCAAAACCAAATACAATTTTCAATCAGCATCCACACTCCAACTCCAGAGCTGTTCCAGATACCCCTTAAAGTGGCTTGCATTTCTAACACTGACTGGTCATGGTGTGATCTCCACCAATATTACTGTAATTTCCCATGATTGTTTCTTTCAGACAAATAATTCTTTTCCATGTCATTAGCAAATATTTATTTGACCAAATTAAGGTGGACATCATGAAGACAGTTAATCCGGTCACTATCTCATTGCTGTTTTTGGACTTTGTAGTGCAAAACCTTGACTGTATTTTGACTGGCCACTTTATTTAGTGGTCCAGTGTGCTTAGAACAAATTTGATATCATTATAGGTGGGATTTTAGATGGAAGTTTTATATGATGCAAGGTTAAGATTGCTGAGTAAAAGTTTCAACAAATTTGTACAATCTTATGAATTGTGTGCTTTGGTTGGATCATTAATTTAAATTGAGAGAAAAAATGAGAATGAGAAGAAATAAATTTAATTGTGCAATAAATTGTACGTTAACAATCAACAAAATTTGTTAAATTTACAAAATTCCTGAAACCAGCCATATGTATCCTTGCTCTTAATTATAGTCTAATTGCAAAATTTTATTTCAAAGCACAATTGTATACTATATAGTGAAAGAGAAATGTAGTGTTTTTGGAGTTTTCAGTTCTGTTGTGGAGAGCACATGTTTTTGTGTTTTGGCAGCGATTGAAAATACGGTAAGTAATTAAAGCTTTAAATCGAAAGTGGCCTGTTGGACAGTTTTGCATTGAACTGTGATAGTTCTCAAAGTCTGCTTCCCACCATTCAGATGGGCGTATAATATGCAATCAGTCGAATAATTTGTTCTAATGGGGTACACAAGCAGATTTCTATAATCAAACTGGAGAAATGTGTTATCTGTTGGTTTTTGTGTGAATTGGGTTTTTTGGCCTTGACTACTATTTTGTTCCACGTGGTGAATGGTGTTTTAGGGATTTACTGCAACAGAACAAGGTTACACAGTTACATAATGTTTGGATTCAAGTCGGTGCATTTCCACTGATGCTACCATTTGTAATATTTTTACAATACTACAAATTACCAAGGAAACCGCTAGCTGACTTGTTATTCAGTCCCCCACAGTTCACTATGAAGTTTGTGTGGTCGATAAGGACAATTGATTTTGTTTTGCTCAGCCAAGTTGTACAGCTTCAAATAGGGTTCACTTCTAAATTTTCTTTAAATTTGCATTTCAGGCATTCACTCTTGTATTAAAAAAATCAGTGCAAAGAGAAAAGAAATTGACCTTGCTATTCAGTTGTCTTGTAATGCGAGTTCTAGTTTCTGCACAATGAGGATTTGATAGATAGGACTTGCAGGTTTATAATGCCTCTTACAATCATAGGACATCTCAAATGCCTTACAGCCAGTGAAGCACTTTTTGATGTATAGTCACTGTAATGTAGGAAACACGACAACCATGTTGTCCCACAAATGACAACATATGGACTGGTAAGCATTTTTCTGTTCATTCATGAGATATAGGTCTTGCTGACTGGACTAGCACTTATTGCCCATTCCTACTTGCCCTTAAAGTAGTGTTGGGTTTCAGCTTTGAAATTCTGTAGTCCCTGAGCTATAAGTAGACCCACAATGCCATCATTGAATTCCAGAATTTTGAACCATCGACAGCCAAGGAATGGCAATACATTTACAAGTCAGGATGGTAGGTGGCTTGGAAGGAAATCATCTTCTGGTCATGTTCTCGTGTATCTGTTGCCCTTGTCCGTCAGATGGTAAAGGTAGTGAGCTTGGAAG